TAAAATCAAGTCGGTAATATTATTAGCAGCAATTGTGGGACCACCGGTAAAGCAAGACATTAAAGGGCGCAGAGGAAGTGTCGAAGAGAAACCCAATCCGTCTTTTGCAAAGAAAAAAAAAGTTTGCGAGAGAAATGGTGAGTAGGAGAACTCTAGGACTCTCATGAATTAAAGTAATTAGACAATGTTCGGATTTACTCAAAGGCGAAATAATCAAGGGCGTCTCGTAAATAAATGGATGAGATGTCAGAAACAGGTCGATTTGTATTCGCACGATTGCCATCACGGTCAGGAACTGGAGTAAGCTCTGAAATAAGTTGCTCAAGGTTGTTGATGACAGCAAATTTTCCAGCTTATTTTTTAGAAGTGTAGGTGGTTTGAGACGAATATTTAAGCCAATTTGTGTTGCGAGCATTGTCACAGTCACCAAAAGGACATATATTTCACCACTGGGATTTATTCGACACAAACATTCAAATGTTCAAACAAGGGATTAACGGTACATGAATTAGGTGAGCGGTAAAGAGTGCAAACTCAGATCTGTTTTCCTGGACGAACTTGAATCAAAGAAGTTGGTAGTTTTGGTTGATGATTTCACACTCTTTCAGTCGTGAAGCTTGAGTGTCGCAGCGGACATGACTACATAATCTACCTTTAGAAAGAAAGGCAGAAAATAGTTCATAGTCGGGCCAATTCAGGTTTAGAAATATCAATGACCACAGATATTACAAGAAAAAATTGTCGTGGAGAAAAAAAAATGTATTTTGCACAAATTAGTAGAATCTAAAATTGATTAAATAAGCCTTTGAAACCCATAAAACAGTGAACATTTTTCGGGGGCTTCGAGTAGAACTTTGAACATTATTTGCAATCGACATAATTAATTGAGAGAAGAGAACAGGTGGCTCAGTGGCAAAAGGAGAAGTGTATCCAAAAGGACAGAGCACTCGAGTGGGGCCTCCCAAAGCTGCACCCTAAGAGCCGCGGCTTCAGTCGCGAACTGGCAGAGTAAACTGCTAATAAGGCAGCCTCCCTAAGCGCTACCAATGGGTTTGGGCGTTTGTACTATTTGGTGGCAGGCCTTTAGTGCACCATTCCCCACTTTCATACTGGCTGTAAGTCTTTAGAAGTTAAACTCATATCAGTAAGAGTCTAAGAATCCTAGCGACGCTAGATTTTGGTGTCAGGAGTGGGACCGTCGTGGGATTCTGATTTACCATATTGGAGAAAATCATGTGTGCAATTTGAAATTGGCATAGACACGCTTCGATGTTGATGTCAGGATAGCCGATTAAAAACCCTTGGATTCACGGTTGGATTTAATCACGTTGTATAATTATTGAAGTAGTCATTTAGATTAGTAATTGATATGGATTATTTCATTGATATATGCACATGATTATTGTATTCCATTGATATATGCTCATATTTCATTAATTTATGTTCATTATTGTATTGTAATTATATATGCTCTTTACTAAATTATCTATTTCTTTGATATGACTCAGCTGGTAGTAGTAATCAGGGTGAGGAAGAAATGCCATTATAATCTAACAAATTGATTGTTAATGGTGTGATTTCTAGTGCTTTTAGTAGAATATCGAGTACAAACGATACCCTTATGCCAGACGTTTCCTCAAAATATGCACAAATAATTTGTGATTTTAGAGATGATTTCCTCCTCCATTTTGGCCGAATGTTGATGTGGATGAAATGAGTGAAGCACGTAATTGTACAATGGTCCCTGTATAATCGGAAGAAAGTAAGAGTAGCAGTGATGAAGATGTTGTACTGGTCTCTTTACCTACCTTGCCAACTTCCACTGTTAGACGATCGTCATGGGTTAACAAAGGAAAACATAGCAATCTCCATCATCTCCTTCTATATATGAGGATATAAGTAAAGTTTGGGTTATACATGGTTGATTATTCCATAATTCTGTGTTTTAATTGTATAATGTTTACTATTGCTAATGTTAATGTTTAAGTGTATAAACATTGTATGCTTGTATTTGATTGTTGTTGCACTTGTAATTTGAAATTATTGTTGTGCTTGTTAAAATTTTATAAAAGAAAAAAAAGGAAAGAGAAAAACATTAAAAAACTAAACTAAAAAAAAAACTAAAAGTTAAAAAAAGTCATTTTGCACTAGTCTTTTGGGACAAAGATTGTCTGTCAGGATGGATTGTGAAAGAGCGAGTAAACGTGTTTACCTCCTTCTTGCCATGTAGGTATTGCATCGCGAAGTAGGCCCTACTGAATCGTACTTGCTATAAGATGTCTGTATCTATGCGCGTAATGATTGCTTGCATGGGTATAGTGGTTTTGGTGTGGTTGCTGGCAGTTGAACACTTTCATCGTTACTGTACCGTAATTGAATAAGTAAAGATTGAATACAGTAGTAGAATAATGTAAAGGCAGCTGATGTCGGTTAACGATGGCTGTGTTATCTACAGCGGATCAAACGAATCGACTGTATACATAGATGGGGCAACAGGGCCAGGGTTTTTTAATCTTAGATTATGTTGTTAGTATTGAAAAAAGGACCTTGGTATGATATGATCATTTGTGACTAAATGCTTTTTATATAAAAAATAAAATCCCTCTACACTCGCTGCCGCAAATATACAGCAATGTATCATATTTTTAATGCCTTTCTTGTTAGTGGAATAATCTTTTTTATGAATTTTCTGTAAAGCAAATAAATCCTAATGCATTTTATAAATGAATTTCTTAATTTGATTTTTTAAAATATATTTAATAATAACATTTTATATAAATGTTATGTACACATAATTATTGGTAATTTATTTTGTTGAATTGGGGTTGTGAACCCCGGTGAAAGTGATTAATTTTTCAGTCCACCTCATGAAAACATTTTTAATTGTCTTGGTTTTATGTTTTGTTTTAGATACACCATTATTTGAGCTCTTGCGAATTTTTAAATAGGTCAGTCCCTGTGCCAAAAAGTTCCTATAAACGGTGCTGTTTCTTTTCTGGTAGATTTAAGCTTTAAGGTAATTTTGGTCTCTCCCTTTTATAGCGCCGTGAGCACTACT